TGGAGGCTATTGTCGGACCCACAGACACATTTCATGAGGAAAGTTAAGGTGCACGTTATAATCAGCCCAGAAGTTTCGTCTGAATTGAACGTGTTTCTACTTTCACATGCAAATGACTTGTTGCACTTATGAATATGATAACTTTCCGGCATCAATTCTAGTAGGGTAAAACGTAATTCCGCTTTCGAAATGGTCTGTTTTGCCCTGCCATTAGCTGAAACTGTGTGTGGACAAGTCGCGGCTGCAGAGTGTGAGCTGTTCCGTCTCACGCAGCCTCAGAAGGAGTTCCACAACAACACTTAGCTGCCCGCCGGTGCGCCTGCCTATAAATCGGCCTAATTTGCAGCACAATCGGCCGATCCCGATTAATCGGTCGACCTCTAAATCACAGTCAGTCTAAGACAATGCTGTTTTATGCAAATCCAAAGAACCAAAGAAGTGAAAGATGCATGAAAAGAAATATCAAGGACTTTCTGGGCCAGACCTTTTCATCAGACACTACACACACCCTGGTGAACAAGCGCTCGCACCAGCCAGCACAAGGGAAGCTGATGAGTCATAGCCCACCTCTGAACACCAGCCTTTGCACAAACCCCAATGTAATGCTATTTGTTATTTACAAGAAACTTTAAAATACTGTTACATAGCCAAGTGAGCATAATTATTAAGGATGATTTGTTATTTTTCCTAATGAAATATTCAGTACATATTGCCTAGTGCACACGACATAAAGAAAAACTGAAAAGGATCTAAGAAATTAAGACTCATATAAGACTTTAAATCAGTCTTTAGTCTCTTTATAAAGTATTTCTCTGTGTCTTGAATAGCTCAAAATGTTCACTTTATCTTAGTTACAAAATACAAATTTCTTATTTTTCAGGGGCAAGAAGTTCACCAAACTGTGAAGACACTATTAATGTGTAAAGAGGTGTGAAGTGAGCAGGGCATGTGGTGCATCATAGAATCTAAATTTAAGACTCTTTTAATGAACCTGATGATTATCTTATGGGACGATGCCTCAAATCTACTGATACGAAACAGATCTCAATCATGATGTCTCTCTGTCTTCCTGTTCAACCTCTGAAGCGCTCTTTGACTACTGGGCAGAGTTTAAAAGGTTAACGCACCTCTGAGAGCTATGAGCAAGAGAATGTTGTGCTAGAAGTATAGACAAATTAGCCCTTTGATGCATGACATCCTCTAAAGCAGTCAGTCTTTAACCAATCATGGTGCTGCATTCAAACCATCATGAGTGATGAAGTTTATCCATCATTTTAGGATTTTTCTCTATATCACTGTCACTGCATATCATTATACGCCAACATGAAATCAAAATAGTTGTTTTATTGAAGTGATAACTGGAGTCAATGATGGAAAATACCTAAAAAAAGACTTATCTGATATAATATAATATAATATAATATACTTAAAATATGCATTAAATTTATCAAAAAAGACAGTAAAGACATTTATAACATCTTTAAAGTCTGCGTGAACCGGAAGTTGCTGCCGACTTTATTTCAGTGTAGTGACGTATTTCCATCTGAAACGGAATATTAAATAGAGGGCGTGTTTTTATTTTTGTGCTCCTCCTCTCTGTCTCTCACTCATAGCAAACTAACGGTTGTAGGGTGTGTTTAAGGATATTCTGCCCAAGCCGTCAAACTGACGTCATCAGAGAAGGAATGCCATTCCAGAGCGGAAGCAAATGTTCAGATTTTGATTAAAGATTACCAAAACACACCATTTTTTTCAGCGGAATAACTTGCACAGATTAACTGTTCACATCAAGACTTGCAATGTGCACTAATAAAGTAAATAAAGTCAATTTTGATTTCATGCTGACTTTAATCATTTCACATAAATGCTGTTCTTTTAAATTTTCAATCCATCAAGGAAAAAAAAAACATCACAGTTTCCACAAAAATATTGTAAACACATTTCATTACACCAAATACACAAAATAATGTTCTTTTTAGCAACATCATATGACCCCTTTAAACAACTGTTTGCAACATTTATAATAATATGACATTTTTCTTAAGCTGCAAATTAGCATATTTTAATGATTTCTGAAGGATCATGTGACACTGAAAACTAATGACTCCTGAAAATTCAGCTTTAAAATGACAGGAATAAATGACATTTTAAAATATATTAACATAGACAACAGCTATTTTTAATTATAATAATATTTTACAATATTTGTTTCTGCTATATTTTTGATCAAATAAATTTGGCCGGGGTGAGCCTATAGGAGATTTCAAAAACCATCTGAAAAACATTTGAACAGTATATATACACATATTAGAAAAAATATTGGTAAATTAAAAATGCATACATATAATTACACATGAATAACAAATTTCCCCCTCGGAATCGATGCATCATATCAAATTTGATATTTCCATGAAGGTTGGGAGTAGGATGCTGATGCAATGACAGATATTCTTATGAAGAAGGAAAGTGCTAAAACAGCACCATGACAAACTGAAGTGTTAACAGGCATCTGTGAGCGGTGTGAACTTCCTCGTTGTTAAATCGTGATGCAGCAATCTTCTCCAGGCGTGCATTACTGGCCACATATCATTCAGACATTTAATTAATGAACGTTGAGCTCGAGAAGAGCATGATGCATCACCCACAGCATCTACCACCAGCACTGGTCGATGAGTAACAGAAAGCACCAAAGCACACCAGACTCACTCGATTACTCTGTCTCTCAACTCCTGTCTCAATCTCACTCTCTCTTACATCTCACATATCTTTCTTAGCTCCATCGGTCTTCCCTGTGCTCCTGTAATACTGACATTTTAATGCAAAAGTCATTCTTTTAATGCATTATTTTTAAGATAAATGTCAAAGTGCCACTTAAAGCAGCTCTTTTTTCTATATAACTGTTGAGCATCTGGATTAATCTAGAGATGTATTTCCTCTGTATTTAAAGGCCTAAAAATACCTGCACTTAACAGGGAAGAGTCTTTGTAAAATTGTGCTGCTCCCACACTGTCAGAGTGGAATGGAAGTACCTGCAGATGTCATGTTACATCTGATTTTTTCATCACTAAAAAGAGAAAAGGTTAACATGACTCTTGGCCTCATTGGCTGGTAGCGCAGCCATGATGAAATAGTGGTCCCTACAGAATAAACCAATAAAGCTAAAGGTGACACTGTGGGGGATTCAAAGAAGTTATCTTTATCGCAATAGATTTTACGTTCAGATTGAAAAAGATCAACTGGTATTTGTTCTTATTCTTTCCCAAGACAGAACAGGATTGCTTGGTCATTGTGCATTTCCACTCCATTTATACATTGAACCTCACGTTCAAAGCAAAGCGCTCCTGGTGGTGACTAAAGGTAAATCCCATTAAAGCATGTGCTGACCATATTTCACAATAAATTCTGAATATATACACAGTTTCAGGACTATTAGAATGATTATTTACTTTATTTTAATGGCAGTTAAGCACATCATTTGACAAAAACACATTGCAACACATTTGGACATTTCACTTTGTCATTGGCATGATAATAATTTCATTGTGTATGTATGTATATATTATATATAGTGTATTTATGTGTGTGTGTGTATTCTTATTATATATTCTTATATGTAAATATATACATACATACACACATACTGTGTATAATTAAAATTTAAATTCAGAGAGATTAATTTTTGTTAATTTTTTATATACAGTATATATATATATACACACACACACACACTGTATATGATATAAATTCATTCAAAAATTAATCTCTCTCTCTCTCTCTATACATATAAGACTATACATAATAAAGTAATTATTAATAATTTGTTACATTGACAATTAAGCACATTTCACCCAAAATTCTCATTAAATGTAACACATTAGGACTTTTTTTTATTCCTTTTTTCTCAATGGTGATTTTCATTGTGATATTACAGTAAAACATAAATAGATTCTAAAACATTCAATTATAAAATAAAATAATACATAGATCAATATATTAAATAATATATTAAAAGTTCAGCATGATTGAAGCAACACTACAATTACTGCCATGATGCATATACAGCACATAGTAACAAAATAATATATAATTAATTATTTTTCACATCACAGTACTGAGAACTGAGAGCAAAAATGTGCTTAACTGTTATAAAAATACACAAAATGGGGGAAAAATAGGAATTCTAAAACTGGGATTATTTTTCTATCTCTTCCTGGTTTTTTATTATAGCACAGTCTTGTATTTCTTTCCTCTGAATTTGGGGTGTAATATGACCTGGACATTCTTGACAGTTGTTTTGATGAGATTCGCCCGTTCTATGACAATGAACACAAACCATAAATTTCAGACCACACCAAATACTCCAATGAGATGTGCTTTTTGTCCACCATCCAGAAAAGCTGCCTTCTAGAAACATCACTACATCAGTTTCTCCAGGAGACACCATTGACCCGCTCTGTTGAATAGGCAGGAGCAGTGAATGCGCAGTCTCAGTGCGGAACGATAGGTATCAGACACACCAGCCAATGTTGCCAAAGCAGCAAAAAATGCATCTCATTTCATCAGGTCCTCAATAGCAAACTGTATTAAATGATCACTGAGATGCACAAGGAAGGATGTGCACACGAGACAAAAGACAACGAGGATCCTTCCTCAGTGAAAATTAGGATTTAAATCTTTTTGTCTGTTCATTTTGAACGGTAGCATAAACCACAGTTGGCACATAATCTTTAGACTGTCTGCTATGCTGTTTTCTGTTATAGCTACCATAACACAGATCCATAGGGAAATATTACTATGGTAGCCAGATGCATTTCACCGGGATACAGACAGAGCATCAAATGCGGCGTAATTTGATTGATTTCAATCGTGCAGCGCACAACACTGAAATGAAAGTGGAGGCTATTAATGCAGATTATGGAGCCACTTTCACCTCCATCGCGCGTGGAAATGAAAAGCGCGAATTCTAATGACATCTCCAGACAATAAATGCATCATCTTACCTGTGCTGTGCGAGAGATCAATGCCAGACTCGCTGAGGATGTTCGGGTCACTTTGAGATCTGCCTCTGTGCATTAGACATTTGTCTATTCCATCCGATGAAGCCATGAGGAGCTCTGAATAAAATATTGAAATCCCTTTCCGAGGCAGTCAAACCCGACGGTGAGGCGGATGCGTCGCGGTCTAAGAGCACCCAGCAGCAGGCATGCTGAATTAAAGCCCTCTACAGTGACTGTGTGTGTGTGTGTGTGTGTGTGTGTGTGTGCATGAGGGAGCGAGACCGAGTGTGTCTGTCATGAGGGCTGGGGTATTTGTGTGTGTACGCGCGCGCGCGCAGATGCCACCTTTATCCACTTCACAATGACCCACTGACAAGCGAGCAACCTTTCTGAATCACAGGATGCTAGCGAATGACGTTTTAAACTGCCTTCATAAATGAATTCATTCTTTTTTTTTTCTTCTTTTTTTTAGAGACCTTGTGGCGGTGTTTCGTTCGGAACGAATCGGTGTTTTTGAGCGGAATGGTGAACGAATATTTTCGCTAGCTTAAAGGGTTAGTTCACCCAAAAATGAAAATTAGCCTATAAATTACTCACCCTTAAGTCATCCTAGGTGTATATGACTTTCTTCTTTCAGAGAATCCAGTCGAAGTTATATTAAAAATTATTTGATCTTTCAAGCTGTTTAATGCCACTCAGTCCAAAAGAAGTTAAATAAAAAGCGACCATCCATAAAAAAAAAAGTGTCTCACAAGGCTCTGGGGGGTGAACAAAGGCCTCCTGTAGCGAATCGATGCATTTTTGTAAGAAAAATATCCATATTAAAAACGTAATAATCACTTTAATCTAGCTTGCGCCAACAATTGTACACGGAAGCAGCTCCGGGGGGATGATGTATGAGTTCAGCGTTGCGCATGCGCCGGTGAGTCTCGTGAAAACCAGCGTTTGTTAACAGGAGCAAAGGAAGCAAAGTTTCCTTACGTTAGCAAAGGAAAACCAGTCTCCTCTTGGCTTATATCGAAATCCTCCGACATTCTTCTTTACAAATCCTC